TGCGATGTGCTCGGCGCCAGGCTCCCTGGGCCCTGCCGGGGACGGTGCCTGCCTGGGTACCTCCTGGCTAGTGAGACACGAGACAGGGACGTGGTCAGTGCTCTGCGGCTCTTAGCTGGAATCCCAGGCCAGGGACTTCTTTGTCTTTCTCTGTCTTTTTTTGTGTTCTGTCTCAGATCAACTGCTGACAGTGGGGCTGTTTGTCCTAGAGGGAGTGAATGCTCCTGGAAGGTGGAGGAATGGTCATCTTTGGCTGGCCCAGAAGGCAGCGAGCAGACGCAGACGAGATGGACGGAGGATAACATTGTTTAGTCCACTGCTCCAAAGGGCCCTGGAGTCGTACCTGTTAAGTCAGACTCTCTTGGGACAGGTGACTGAGAAATAAAAAAACAAAAACAAAGCCAAGAACTCCCCCATGGGATTCCCACAGGCACATGCTGTGGTGCCGCCACTCCACGGCCGCTCTGCGCCATACAGAGGCTGCGGCTTGAGAAGGAAACTGGCCCGCGGAGGCACGTGGGGTACTGTCTCTGCCTCCAGGCAGCCTGGCTCTGAATGAGGGAGCAGCAGGCCATTGGCTTCACCCTTCTGTGGGTGCATGCCCAGGTGTTACAGATATGGGGAGGAGCCCCCTAGGCTGGTGAATCTGAGGACAGAGGGGGCAGCTCATCAGATAAAACAGGCAGGAGGCACTAGCAATCTAACCATGGCGAGTTCGTCCATCTCCCTGAGCCTCAGTTTCTTTGCCTGCAAAATGGTGTGAACCATCAGCCAGCTCAAACCTCACCGGGCTGGGCTGAAGCTTAGAAAAAAATCATGCCGACAGGACAGTGTGACCCACGGGGCATGGCCTGTGCATGTGTCCCAATAAGGACTTCCTCTCCCTTAACCTCTCTCCTTAACCTCCCCCTCTCTTACTTCCTCCTCTGAAAAGCCTCTGGGTTGTTGTTGACTTTTTTTTTTTGGCATGACTTTGAAGTCAATGAAAAGCAACCCAGCTTCCTTCTTTCTCTTCTTCCCCTTCCCATGTGCATGACCAGGAGGCCCTGGTCCCAGACCGCAGCACCAGGCTCCTCGCTCACTGTCCTGGTTTCAGGATTTCAGCATCTTCCTCCCCTGGGCAGGGCCCGCCTCCAGGGGCTTGCCTTGGCATCTCCCTGCACGTGTCTGCTTCTCCCTGGCTGCCTGGGGCTCACGGAGCGCACACAGCTGGCTCTTCTTCCTGCGTGGGATTGCGTGGTGATAAAGCAGACATGGGTTGAGTGCTGTTGTTAGTTGGGACTCTGTAGGTTTCCAGGGACAGGATCCAAACCTGAGTAAGCTCATGCAACACCGGGGGTGTCAGGAAGTCATAAGGGAAGCACCAAGAACCCAGTCCCCCAAAGAGAATGGGGGATCTGCAGTGTTTTAAGGGCGGCAGGCAGATCCTAGCTGACTCCTGCCAGCTCCCCACTCCCAAACACCCTGCCCAGTCCTACACCTGACACGAGAGGACCAGGCCTTCCCCGGGACTTTTTGGACTGGATCTTGGCCGAGCTTGGAGCACACACATACTCTTCGCATCCATGCATATGACCAAGGAGGAAAGACACTCTCGTGGGCCCACCCTGAGTCCCATGCCCACCTTTTTGGCTGCAGAGGGGGCAGGGAACCAGGTGGAAGCCGAGGGAGAAGGATGCTAGAATAAATCGAACTCAACTTCTGTGAAGTGCTTACTTTGCGCCAAACATTATTCTTAGCCCTTTGTTTGCGTAAGTCATTTAATCTTCACCATCAACCCCATTTACCTACCAGGAAGCTAAGGCCCAGAGAAGTTAAGCAGTTTGCCCAAGGCCACATAGCTGCTTAGGGGGAGAGCTGGTTTGAACCCAAGCAGAGGATTCCAGATGTGCTCTCCCCCACCCACTGCAATGCAGACGCAACAAAAGGTGTCCCCTCCGGCCCTCTGTGCACACATGGTAGGAGCTAAGTCCTCCACGGCATTATCTCACAGTGTCCCCAGTTCTACGTAAGAAACTGAGGCTCGCAGAGATGATGTGCTGTGCCCTGGGCCTCCCAGAGCTGGGGTAGGGAGCTGGCGTGGCTGATGGCAGCTGTTCACTCCCTCACGGGGTGGCTCTGCCTTCCGATGTTCCCCTCAGTCTATCAGAGGTTGGGGCAGGAGCCCACCTGGCTCAGCTTGCAGGTCTTTGCCCCCCATCTGGCATGCGGGCTGCTTCCAGCTGGCCTTGGTGTGTCTCCTGCTGATGGCACTGGGTGATCCTGGCCCAATCTCTCTGTGCACCACAGCTCAGGATTCACTCATTCCTTCTCTCACCAGCTCTTCGGAGTGTCTAGCGAGTGCCAGGCTCTGTCCAGCTGCCTTCCCTGGGGCACTGCAAAGCTTGGAGCACATCACAGAGGCAGCCCCACACTGCCCGCTCAAGTCCCGCCGCCTTGAGCGTTTCGCATGTCTTGCATCCAGGAGGCCATCTCTGCTTCTCGGCTGGGGACTGGCGTGGTTGCAAGGGTGACGAGAGGTGGTGGTGTCGCTGTGCTGGCTCACAAAGGGAAGCCTTGTGTCAGGCAACAAGCCTGAGCGTGGGCTTGGGCCGGCCCCCCGGCAGGCTCAGGGCTGCTGTGGTTAGGGCTGATGAGGCCCTGGGCGCGGCACTTGTCTGTGCCAGGCCTCAGTTTCTCCACTGGAGCACACTGCTGCACACGTTGGCTCCCAGGGCTGCTGGCAGGAGTATCTGAGGCTGTGCCCAGCCAGGGTGGTCTGTGGATGGGAGAACCCCTCCCTGGCCTTCTCACAACTGAGTCATTTTGTGGGTGTCCCTACAAGTCGGGGTCCGTGGAGGGTGGCAGCTGGGAGGCGTCCTCAGTGACGAAGCCACTCCTGACATGAAACTCCTCGCTTTACGGAGGAGGAGCCTAAAACCTTGTGAGGGAAGGGGTAGGGGTGCTGGGCTCCGGGAGCTTCCGGCTCAGTGGCATTATGGGGGTGGTCAGACAGGGTGAGCTGGCCCTCCGAGCGGCCAGGTCACAGCGTGCTCAGTGTCTGCGGGCATCTTCCCTGCGGTCAGCCCTCGTGGCCTGGCCTGGTCGCGCCCACCTCTGTCCCATCGTGAACACCACCCAGGCAGAACTTTAGTGCTCCCCCCGACCCCGCCCTGTCTCTCAGCCTCAGTTGTGGCCCAGCATGGGGAGGATCTTCTGTGCCTGAGACTGAGGGCACACGGGGAGGTCCCGGGCGTCTGGTTGGACCCACAGTGGGATCCCGCTCCCCACCCACACTGTTGCTGGAAGCTTCTTGAGGGAAGCCGGAGGCCTCCAGCCTCTCTGGCTCCTGACTTGAGGCAGCAGCACAGAGCCTATAGCTCAGGCCACAGAATGCGGCCCGGGCGTGCCGGCCTGTTTGTGGGCTGGGATGGGCCCCGAGAGGTGTGGGCTTGGTGATGACAATGACGGGCGTGACTGCAGCTTCTGCCCAGGTGGCTGCCCTTGGAGCTTGCCAGGCTCACGGGGTGTGTGCTCCCTTCCCCCTCCTCCTCCACTGGCTGCACCAGGGCTCGGTGTTCGGGACACCTCTCACCCCAGCTTGGAGGAAAGGCCCTGGAGTGCTGGTCAGCCAGTCCTGGCTTGATCATCCTGTGCTCTGTGGTATTGGCTGGCTGGCATGGTCTGTTCCCCCAGGCTCGGTTTCTTGTGTGTGCAGAGTCACTGAAGTAACGCACGTCTCGTCCCAGCAGCACTGAGTCCATGCCTGGCCAGTGCTCAACAAACAGCAGGTGCTGTTCCGTTCATGGCCAAGGCTTCTGGACGGTGAGCCTCTTCCTAACAGTAGCTTTTCTGTATATCAGTGTGTGTGTGCTCACACACATGTGCACAAGCAGCTCCGTGTGTATGTGCACATGTGTGCAAGCAGCCCTGTGTGTGTGTGTGTGTGTGTACATGCGTGTACAAGCAGCTAGTAAGGAAATTGCCTCTTGGGATCCAAAATCTCACATCTATGTTAGCTTTTGTCCTCTTGAGTCTACCACGCAGATGTTTAGATTGTTTTTTGAATGTGGAAGAAAGTTATTACAAATATTTTGTAGCTTTAGGCTCCATTTTCCAAACAAGTTGTAGAAGCGTCTTTTTTTTTTTTTTTTTTTTTAGAAGCAGAAGGATGTAACTAAATAACGTGAGTGGTCATTGGAAGCCAGGATAGTAATTTGTTTAGGAAACCCAACCTAAACGTGATCAGATGGCTTGCTTTTTGTTTTATTTATTTGAAAGTCAGAGTTAGAGAGACAGAGACAGGGTGAGGTCTTCCATTCACTGGTTCACTCCCCAGATAGCCGCAATGGCCAGAGCTGAGTTGGACCAGAGCCAGGAGCTTCATCTGGGTCTCCCACATGGGTGGCAGGGGCCCAGACACTTGGGTCATCTTCTGCTGCTTTCCCAGGTGCATTCGCAGGGAGCTGGATTGGAAGTGGAGCAGCCGGGAAATGAACCAGTGCCCATATGGGATGCCGGCATCGCAGTCTGTGGCTTTGTCTGCTATGCCACAACGCCAGCCCCTTTTTATTACTTCCCACTTAATTTTGTATTTGGTAGGATGACTGCTTTTGCCTTTGTGACTTGTTATCAAGTCTCACACCAGCTGATGGTTTCCTTTCATTCTGTTGCGAGCTTAGACATTCTAGCACTTTCTGCGTTTTAGAAAGCAGCTAACACAGCATTCTTTCCCAAATCCTTCTCCCTCTCTCAGCAAAGTCTTTGTGTTGAGATAGAGAAGCTCTTACCCAGACAGTGGCACACAAGAACATTTGTTAGGCACTCTCAGTATTGCTTTTGTCACATGCCAAACTCGTGGAGCACACAGAGAAACACCTGTGTGCGTTCCCATGGCTGGGTAAAGTGTCACTCCAGGGCCAAGTGCACCAGCTTGTGTGACTTCCTGGAGGGAGGGAGACAGGAGCTGGTGTGCAGGACCATGCAACTGACATTCCTTGTTGGGCTCTTGTTTTTTAAAGGAACATGGCAACCTGGGCGGCTTGTCCTGGAAGAAGACGTTAGCTGATGTGAGGCCTGAGAAAGCGGTAAGTCCCAGTGGGGGATCTCTGTCACACCACCAAGGAGCCCTTGGGGGACTGGTTTGGGGCTGGGGAATGTGTGGGAGCACTTGGACTCTTTCTCCAAGCCCAAGTGTGTGGAATACCATTTAAAGAAACAGTGACCTGCGTTTCCCTGCCCGGTCCTCTCTGCCTGCTGATGACCTCCGAGGTTGCCTTCCCACGCCGTCAGAGGAGACAGGGCGTGACCCCGAGACTCATCTGGGGAGAACAAAGACCCATGCAGTCGGGTGCCGTTTGGGTGGGTGGGAACTCTGCACCCTCTTGCCCAAGACGAGGCCATTGGCTCCTCTCAGAGGATGCGACAGGTGCCTTGGCTGTGCAGGTCTGTGCAGATAGAACCTGGGCAGGTGCAGGGAGCGACTTCAGAGCGCCCTAGACTGATTTGGTCCAAGGTTTAAAATGTGGTGGCAGTGTCTTCCCCTGCTTGGGCTCCGTTCTGAAGAGCACAAATCTGTCTAGATCTTTCTGTAGCCGAGAGGTCCCTGAAGGCCTGGTTCCTCAAAGGCTCAGTGGAGGCAGCAGACCGTGACAGCCCCATCTCTGCACAGTCCCCCTCGCAGATGATTGGCAGAGCCCTCCCAGGGCTCGCCTGGCTCCCCTGGCTCCCCTCTCCACGTCCCCTGCAGTGTACCAGGGAAGCCCTCTTCCGACTGGCCTGACCGAACCTCTCCCGTCGGCCTTCGAGGCCTTCCCCTTGCAGTCCAGCCTCGCAATCTGCCTCTCCTGGCTGCCCTGGCTGCAGTCCTACAGTGCTGCAACAGCTCACCATGCCTGGGACCCACTTGCTGCTCCCTCGGAGAGCTTCCCCGACTTGCCCCAGCCAAGTCAATGCCTTGAGCCCCCCCTGCAGTCCTGAAGAGCCCTGTTTGGCCATCAGGTGCGTCACAGGCTGAGCTGGGGTTTGCCTCCTTGCCTGGGAGCCTTGAGGGTGAGCACCTACGCACCAGCCTTCCAGACTGGGTTGGGCCAGCCCCACGGTCCCAGCTTCACTGCACACAGCCAGCCACTGTCTGTTGACTCCAGGAGTCCCAACTCCAGGGTTGGGTGAGGGCTTCCGTCCTCGGAGTTCCACGGCAGACAGTGTCTCGTGAGAGCCTTGTACCCTAGGAGGGCTACTCATCCTCGCCTATTTCACAGACATCGAGACTGGAATCTAAGCAGTCGGATAACCCGCCCAAGGCTGTCGGCTAATCGGGACCAGGGCTCTTGTCTTCGGTGTCCCAGGCTCGTCTGGTTTCTCTAATGCCAAACTTTATAATTAGAGCAGCTATTTAAAGCAAGCCTCTCATTACCAAATAGGGAAACTGAGGCCTAGCCCGAAGCCACTTTCTCAAGGAGGTAGAACTAACTGGCGTCAAATGGAGAACTGGAGCACAGGGCCTGGACTGGATACCGGTGTCACATTCTTTCCACTCCCTGCGCCTCCCTTCTGTACACGGCACTCAGTGAACACTTGGAGATCATCCGTTGGCATTGGTGGGAGGGAAGAACCTGCGGGGTGCTCAGAGCTACGGAACACAGAGCCAAACACACCTGTTTCCCACTTCCCCAGTGGTGCGCGGTGCATGGCTTTGAAAGGGCTTGGGTGGGTGGGTGAGGGAAGAGCACCAGGGCCCTATCCAAGAGGCTGGGGCTTGGAGGCAGCCAGCAGACGCGTCTGGGCACTGGGAGGCTGGCTTGCTGGGCACAGAGGACCCAAGCGTTGGGAGTCCTGAGCAGCAGGACGAGAAGGGGCTGGGTGTGCCCAGCAAAGCTGTTCCATCAGCTCCCATTCTTAGTGTGTGGGGACGGAGCCAGCCAGTCCCTGGCTGCAGGGGCGGTCCTTCCCTTCCCACGGAAGCAGAGGCCGCAGAGTGCGTCTAGAGAGGAGGGCCGGGCAGCGAACAGCGAATCCTGGCAGGTCAGGGAATGTGTGTGAGCCGGAGAGGCGGGCATGCTGGCTGGCTCACTCCCCTTGTGCACGAATGAATTTTTCTTTTGCTTCTGACTGACCGCATGTCCAGTTGACTTCTGCCTTCTTTGAGCCTTGGGTTTCTCCTGGCTCGTTCATTCAGTCGCGGCAAGACCCACATGCTTCGATGCTCACGTCACCTTCACCTTTTCTGGTAACTTCATGCGCATGGACTGGGCGACCGGGACTGACCGCCAGCTCCATCCCCATTGGCAGCTGGGAACATACAATTTGCCTGAATTACAGAGAACGTGATGCTTGCCAAATAGGTACCTGGGGTTGTTTTCTAAAACATTAGCAGATGACACACTTGTCTAGGGCAGGGAAAGCATGCCGCGTTATGTCATTAGTGTTTGCACTGTCTGTTTACACTGCCCTTGACATTCTGTAGAGAGTGTTCCATCTTGCTGACCTGATAGGTGGATTTGCTCCCATTTCACAGATGAGAACTGTGCCATGGTCAGGGTATAACCTGCCCAAGGTGGTGCAGCTGCCTGAGGGCCGAGTTGGGACACAGCCCAGGCATCCCATTTATAAATTCCACCATCTCTCTCTCTACCAAAGTCCAGCCGTAAGCAAATCCCTGGAGGGCCTGGCTATATGGGGAGCCTAATAAATACTTGTTGAATGAGTGAACTTTGGCTTGTGTGTGTATGGGGGGGGGGCGGCTCTCTTTACCATAAATGGACCGTTTTTGGCAACAGCAAGTACACTTTGCTGTGAAGTAGTTGGGTTTCTTGCTGTGATAAGGAACCGGTGAAGTGTCGCGTCTCACCCACCTCACCTCCGGGAACTGGGTCATGCGTACTGAATAATTAATTCCTTGAATTTTTTACTTCGAGCTTCCTCCTCCTGACGTGGAGATGATTTGTTAAACGTTGATCTTTGAAAGGTCCTTGGCAGGGAAAGAGCCTATGGTGTGTGGTCACAAACCTTTAGATGACCCGTCTAATTGCGCACAAATAACATTCTTGGTTTAAACAGGTCAGGTTCCCAATGAGTTAATTTGTTGTTTTGCCCCTGCCTCCCTCCCCACCAGCCTTCTCTAGACTGAGGAATAGGTGTGGGGTTTCTTAGCTATGGAGAGTTCTGTAGGGACTGGGACACCCATCTCTCCCTGACCACTGACATCTAAACTCCCCAGGGTTTTGGGCCAACGGCTAGGGACACCACGAGGTTGAGGAAGCATTTATCAGGACATCTGCTGACCTGTTCTTGCCCTAGAGGACACTTGGGTCATGTTTCTCTGAGTCTGGGCTCATTAGGCTCTTGAGGTCAGTAGAGAAGAGTGGAAAACAGAGTGCATTGAGCCCCACAGACCCCCAATCTAGGGTTGGCTGTGCACAGCTTGGCTGTATGGCCTTGGGCAAGTAGTAGAACTTCACCTGCTGTCAGTTTTCACTGGAAGGAAACCATGGGAGATCTGGAGGGCTTCTCTTTCTTGGGGCCTCCTAGACTTGGGGGGGGGGTCCTCAGGCCCCTTCTCAGTCTGCCCTTGTGATAGCGCCGGCAGCACCTCCCAGCCGCCATCTCCTTACATGGCCCGAGCTTGCTTCTGTAAGCACTTTCCCCCTGACCTTTGTAGCTTTGCCACCTCTCCCCCGCCCCACCCTGAGATAGGCCACAGTGCAGATAAGAACTGCCTGCCCGCCAAGCAGCATGGGAAGAAAGCCGAATGTTTTGAAAGTATTTTGGAGATCTAAGGAGTGGAAGTTGGTAGGTAAAGAGGGGAGTGAGGTTGGGGGTGGTTGGGGTACCCAAGTTCTTGGTGTCCTCAGGGCCCTGGACTCAGTTGAACTGTCTGAGCAGCCGGTCGAGGATATGGCCTTAAGCATGTGCTTAAGCAAGTTTGGCCTGGCTTTGTGGCCATGGCTGGACACACACTCCGAAGCAGTGAAGGCTGTAGCCTTGGTGGAAGCCTGCTCAGGCAGAGCCCGAGAGCTGTCCCACGAATGGGGAGGGTTAAGGAAGGTTAAGGATTTGTCTCTGAGTATTAATGATGGAGAGAACTTACAGATCATCTAATGCAGCTCTCCCATTTCTGAGTGAAGAAACTGAGGCCCAGAGACTGAAACCGGTGGAGCAAGCTCGCGGCATATGGCATTAGGGCACCCTGAGTGGGATCTTAACCACTAGGCTAAGTGCCTGCCTCCAGAATTGTTTAAAAACATGTGCCCTTTGGAGGGAAGCCGTCTCCTGATTCCCAGTGGGGTTCTTTCCCGGCATCATGTTGTCTCCTCCCTTCTCTCTTTGACCCTGAACTTGAGCGTCTTAGGTGTTGGCAGGCCTCCACCACTCCCACCTCATTGTCTATCAAGGCCCTAATAAAACTTGGGTGCAACAAAAGGCTGTGGCCTCTTCTCCTGTGCAGCCTGTTGGACTTGCACTTATCAGTGCTGAGTCAGCGTTATTCTGTTTTATGGTGTGCCCTGGGGTAAAAGATTAATTCAAGATAGGAAGTAAAGGCCTCCACAGCAGGGGCCTCTTGTGGGTTTGCTATTCAGAAAGAAATCCCATGGGCTTTGTTGCTAAGCAGGCCTCGTTTTGAGGGCACCAACCGGGTGCAGCCTGTGCAGTCCCTTGCTTGGGGTGGGGCTCCTGGGTTAGAGGCTCGCGATGCCATCAGTATGTCGTCGGCCTGTGACCTAGAAGGGAAGCCACTATAGGACCCCATTTAGCTTAATACTTCCTGCCAAGTTCAAAGAATGCATTTTGAACTTTTGCCATTGGGTAGGCATTGGGTTTACAGATATTACAATGTTTGTCCCTCTGAGAGGAGGGCGTGGCTATTGGTTGTATCGAGGACAAAACTGAGGCAGACCCAGGTTAGTTAAGGTACCTGTATCTTACAAGGTCCAGGGCTCCAACACAAATCGTCTGATGCCAGAATCCTTCCGGGTTCTGTATTTCACACAGCCTCTCTGCCTGGAGGAGGAGGGCTGGCCCGAAACACTCCAGGCCTTGTTTGAGGCACCAGGCACTTGCTCCAGTACATCCAGGTGCTGGGCCTGGG